GTTGCGCCGGGCCTTCCCGTTTGGCCAATCACAGAGACATACTCAAATCCTTGTGCTAAAAGCGTCTATCCAAACCGCTAGGGATGCCTTGTAGCGGATGTGTGCTGCTGCCTGGGAGCCCTCCCTAGGATCCCCTTTCGCCCGCCTCAAAAAGGAAGGCCGTCTGCTCCGGGCTCTCCCCCGTGTGCCCTGACACTGCCCAGCCATCCCAGCCGAAGGCTTCCCGACCTTGCCATTCCGGAAAGGGTGAGAACCTGGGTGAGAGAGGGGCAAGGACTGGCGAAGCAAGGGAGTGGGGCTATTCATCAAAGTGTTCATCTTGGTGGTATCTACCAGCTTAATCAGGAGTCGACAGTGGCTTCTTTGGGCTTCTTTCAAGGTACCCTGCGTGGGGAAGCGTTTCGGTGCCGCCCAAAGGTGCCGCCCTTGGAGGCACCAAGGCTACCTTTGACAGGACTCTTGGGTGTGCTTCAAAAACTACGGAACTCGGTAGTTGTTTTTAGTTCCTTAAACAAACAAAAGCGTCCAGTTGGGTCCCAAAAGCACACACCCGTATTCAAGGAGCACGTGGAGCTTGGGCCTATAGCCACATGGAAATCAGTGGGTGGAGTGCCCTCTCCGGAATGAACCATGGAAGTTCTGACCAAGCCGGTGTCAGTCTGTGCCCTCTTCCTCTCACATCACGTGAAACCATTGTAACGCGGGGGAAGTTGCCCAGGGAGTGTTCTTCAAAAAACAACCTTCAGAAAGCTTTGCGGAACAACAACCGTGAAGCCACGTTCGGAAGCATCGAGAGAACCTGACGCTGGCTTCGTCAAACTGAGGCCCTGCCAAAAAAGTTGGAGTCAACCGAACCAACATACACATACCCCTCCGCCCGAAAGAAGAACTCGCTAAGGGCTAGATAGTCTCACATGGGTGTGGGTCAAAAATAGGTACCCGAAATGAACCCTGGTAAATGGAAACATGGACGAAAACCTGCGGTCCCCTAGTGGTTTAATTTTGACCCACACCCACATGGGTCTTAAATTCCAGCGTTTCCCTCACGGGGAACGAACAAAAAAGCGGACACTTCGTGTGAGGTGTCTGGGAAACTTGAGGTCCATTTCTCCCGAATCGAAGATCAGATTGCTCGAGCATGTCCAAACCGAGGACTTTGTCGCCCAAGGCCTGTGGACACCAAATCAGCTGAGAAACCATAGATCGGTTCTCAAGATCTGACGGAACCTCCAAGAATATACGAGATCCCTGTTGTCTTCGTTTAAAACCACCACAAAAAATGGCTGGTCACTCAGGGCGTCCGATGGCGTTGCTTCCTAACAGAAATTAGACCTATAAGTGGACCTCCACGGGCCAACCCCTCGCCCCAATCAACTTTTTGGAAGGATCGGGCTAAAAGGGTCAACTTCCTCACAACGCCAAAAGACGCACAAAACAATCGTGCAAAAAGAAGCACCAAACAAAAAGCGAGGCCTCAATCCAAAACTTCACAGAACCCCCCCCCCCCCCAACCTGCCACGCCAACCCCCACCGGCCGCGCGCCTTGGGCGAAGGGCCGCCCGTCGCGGCCCCGCGCGCAGAGCTGGCCCCGGTCCAGGCGGCAGGCGTGGCGCTGCAGGAAGGCGTCGATGGCCCGGTGCAGCACCTCCAGGACCTTTCTGGCGCTGACCAAGGGAGCAGAAGACAACTCCCTTGTTTTTTTGTTGGAAACCAGGGGAGGAGGAATAATATGGCCGACCCAGTTTCTTGTTTTTCTCCGGAACTTGGAAAAACACAAATATAAAAATGGCCAGGCAATGGAAAAGTAAATGGAATTTGGAGAAATGGTCCATGTTGCCAACCAATGGAAACCGATATGCTTGGAACTTGGGAATAAATGGCCAACCAATGGAAACCACAAAGGAGAGCTGAAATTCCCACCACCCAGCCAAGTGGATTTCAAACAAAAAATAACGCATCTGTTCGGCTGTTGATTTGCACCATACTCTGGAGGATGGTTGCGAAGTTCAAGCCGCACCACGTAAGAAACCATGGGTGAAAGCAGTGTTTGTTGGTATTTGACAGGGGAATCGAATCAGAAACCAGGGTGTCTTAGGTGATGCAGGATTTCGTCCATCCACAACAGGTGTCCTTTTGAAAAGATGCAAATGGCCCTGGCGGATTGTTATACACCAGCGGGAATAGGTGCACAAGCAGGACATGCCTGGAATTATGTCACTGGAAACCCTCGATGTAAACAACAAAATGTAAACCTCCAGGGAATCTCGTTAAAACTCACTCCCGCGCCTGGGGGATTCTCAAAATAATCATTTCAAAAAAGCTGGCTTCGCTGTGGTTTCTCTTTAGCCACCAACCAAGACAGGATCTAAATCCAATTTTGAGAAAACCTAGCGCGATGGCTTTAGTTGTTGAAGCCCGGGGTCAGCTGGCTCAAGGGCAGCCTCTTTTTTCATGGGCGAGTGGGTGAAAAGGGCACACCAAAAAGCAGCGTCCCCCGACAGTTTTTTTTCTTGCAGGAGTGAAGGATACGCAAGCGCAAAAGAGCAAAAGGGTTGGTTCAATAGGTAAGGTGAGTTTTGGGGGGCATTAACACAACACACAAAACACCAAAAAGTGTGTTTGTGTTGGCCCTCTTTCTATCAGACCCCGCACAGCCCCTTGAAAAGGCGCATGAGTCGGTGAGTGTAAGAGTGAGGAAAAAAGAACTGGACATACGGTACACAACCCTTATGTGTTGTTTACAACCACATATGTCCCAACCAGGCTAGTGGTCTGAGGCTAGCGCTTATCCTTTTAGAATCTAAACTGATCAAGAAAGGTTATGGCGCGCCCATCCGCAAACACGGAAATTGCCACAAGATCAAAAAAAACCATCGTTCCTGAATTACCTTTCTCCTGTTTGTGTGTGTGGGAAATCCATTTTTCTCGTGGTTTGCAAAGGGAAGCCACCTGGAAATCCCACTATTTTGCGGGTGCCACCCGGAAAAACGGGCACGCCCCCCCGGCGACTCCGCGGAATTTCCGCCGCGGCGCCGCCCGGCGCTGCTCCAGCGGCGGCTCCGCGCCGACGGATCTGAGCGCCGCGAGCGCCGCGAGCGCGGAGCGCGCGGAGCGCGCGGCACGAGGCATCGGGGCATGGCTGGCACGGAGAAGCCGAGGGGCTGACGACAAAAAGATATGGCTCTGCGTTTCTGCTTTGTCAAAAAAAAAAAAAACGAAACAAAAAAAAGAGTTCAACTGATATACAACTGAGGGTTTGTTTGTGTGTGTGAATTCGAGTGCGAATTTTAGGCGTCCGCTGTTTGCCCACTACAGATCAAGTGGGAGAAGAAGGTTTCCCAGTTCTCCCTAAGGTGCAACTCTGCTGAAGATGGAACTTCTCAACACACCTTGCTGTAATCTACTACCTGTGAAAAAATGACGCAAGGTAAACCCTTTACAAGAAATCGTGGATTTGGCTAATCCTAGGTTGGATTTTGAAGCTCAGCCACGAAGCAGCAAACGGGATAACTGCGCTCAGAACCAGGGCGCTCTCAGTAAAGCACCCAGGCTGCCTGCCGTCGCCCGTTTCTGTGCGCGTGCGCGCTTGCGCGCAAGCGATGCGCCGGGGAGCTTGGCCGTTCTTGGCAGGCCACGTGGGTGCGCGCTGTGTACAGTTGGGGAACAGCCCCGCTACTGCTTGCAAGTGACAAACAAGTCGCAGAGGCGCACGCGAGACTTTGCAAGGTTCTTCGGTTGTTGGGTTTAGCGCCGAAATAACGCCCCCCCCCATGTCCAGCTTGAATCCCTCATGACAAGTTTTCTCAGCTTGGAGCTTGGCAGAGGTTTGTTTTTCATGTGGCAGACTTCCGTTGCCACACGCAGGACACACGGACGCGCGCGCGCACACACACACACACAAACACTAACACACCTTTCAAGACAGCGTCTGGCAATGCCATTCGGTCTGCGCCGCGCGCAGGACACTGCCTTCAAGACAATTTATCCAAGTGCGATTGCTGTGCACCAGCGCGACTTGCCTTTGACTGTTCTGGCAGCTGCGGTGCATCAAGCATGAAGCGCCTTTTCCAATTTGGACTGTTCAGGGGCAGGTGGCGTGCGGAGAAACAAGTGAGGCTCTTCCTTGCTCAGTTGTCTGCACATAGAGGTGGGTCTTCCGCCCCGCAAAAGATTCGAGCTTCTGCAGGTTCAACGCGAGATCGGATGTGGGTCAACAAAAAGAAGGGCCAAGGATCCGCCAAGCCATGTTCAAAGGGATGGGCCCAACCCAAAGTTGGGTCAAGTTTGGCATAGCTCGCCCATGTGTCCGTATCCATTTTACCGAGTACCCTTTCCGGGGGTGGTCTAAAGGGAATCCACCCATTGTAAGTCGCCCTATTGTGAGACGCACATGCTTCCAACCAAACCTGCCCCTAAAGATGTTTGGTGTCCTTTTAGATTCCCATTAAAATAGTGCAAAGGCAGGGTCCCCACCAAGGCCCGCCAGTCGCGAGTCGATTCGTCCGTCGCCGCCTTTTTGCTTACGACGTTCCTTCCGGCTCCGGGCTGAAACGACAGTCTCCCAACCAGAGACCCGCCCTAAGCAAATAAACCTCGAAACCTAACCACCCTCGTGGTGACGGCGCCATCGGGGGGCCCTTGCGGGAAAGGGTATACTTGTTGTTTGTTCCCTTGTTTGAAGCTCAAGTTGGACCCCTCTGTGAGTGTAGAAAACAGAGCACTAAATTAACAGGGGACCCCTTCCCGCCGCGTTTCGCGAATGGATGATCGCGCCCGCGCCTTTCCAAACGGGCGCGGGTGCCCGAATACACCCTGCACAGCACAGAACCCCAATACCCCCGAGAAGCTGGAGTGTGTGTTTTTCTGGGTCCGCCCCAAAGTCAAAAAGAACGAAGGAGATTCCTCCGACTGTTGGGGTTGCACGCGGCTGAGGTAAAATCCAAGCGCGAACCAAAAGCTTGCTGGCTTTGCAGCGTCCACCAGGCGTTCTCTTCCGCTCTTCACCTCGGGCCCGCGAACACAGGCGGGGTTCAGGGCCCCCAAGCCCCCACGGAGTTCATGGGATAGACCAAAAAGACTAGAGGTATACACCCGTTTTGCCCGGTCATACGAGCGGGTGCCATTGAAAACAGAGTTTGGGCCGTTGCCCAGAAAAGTCAGGTGGCCATTGGAATACAAGCAGACCAGAACTTGCGTGATTTGCCCGAAGAGGGAGGCCTGCGGAGGGGTTCAGAAACCAAGAACCCCGGGCCAGCCGGTTGAAACGTGGTGGAGTCTCCCTGTTGCTTACACCAAATGGTTTGACGGTGCCTGTGGGTGGAAACCAAAAGAGGGGGAAACCAACCAAAATCCATGGGCTTTCTGGGAATTTGGATCAGAACTTGGGCCGTCGTGTCACAAACCTACCCAGATCCGTCAAGAAAGTTCCCACACAAGCACAAATGACGGGAAACCAAAGCTTAGGCTTGTTTAAACAGAACACGAAGGCTTGGCCCAACCCCTTTTGGTTTTCCGTACAGAATCCCGGCAATCGACATGACTGTTGGACACCCCATGTTTGAATCGTAAAGAAAGCCAAAACGAAACTAACCAAATTAGATTTGTGTTCAGGGGGGTCCGTCGTTTTTCGAGGTTTCCATTTGGATGTCTTCCTTCAGGAATCAGAGCCCCAAAATGGCTGCGGGTCAAAACCAATGGTACCATTTTGGGGTAGGTGCCACCACCCAGTTTAGTCTATTGTAGTGGGGATTGGGATGTTCACTGAGGGTACGATTTGGATTTTGACCCATGGCCAAATGAGTACCCTCCTCGTTCGGTCGAGCGTCAACTTGGAACTGCCAGTGAGCAGCTTCGCAATGAGCGCCTGGTCAAAACCCTTTGGCCGCTTCCTTTTTGGACCTGTGTCGATGCCAAAAAGGGCCCTGAACTTTTGACAAGCTGAAAATACCTAGCAAGTCGTTGGCAGCCATCTTGTCTGAGGTATTGTTGTGAAGACACGTGTGAACCCAAAGGCGCAGTTGCCCAGAAACAAATTCGAGGTGTTCACCGTTTGAAGGGGGAATACAGAGAGAGAGAGAGAGAGAGATCATATATGTACGTAGTATATTCTATTATGTTGCATTGTTCTGCTTTATGTTTCATATATACATATATGAATGTGCCTTCTGTGGACCTCTGGCATCACTCCCGGCAAGGTGCAACAACGTCACTCTCCCCCTCCTTTAAAAGAAAGAAAGACGAGCAGCAGGCGGCCCGCAAGCACCTGAATGACCACGCCAGTGCCCTTACCCCCCCCCCCACCCCCTGCCACCCGCCCCCACGGTTACAAAATCCACAAAATGCACATGTTGCGATGCATGAAACCCTATCAATACTGGTTGACAAAACCCAAGAGCAGCTGGTGCAGGATTTGTCCATCCACAGTATGTGAATCCCCGATTTAGCAAGTCTCGTGTTTGGTAAGTCCCCTTGTTCGACCCTTCTTTCTTGGGCACGGATGATTCCCCACCATGGTTCATCCGCCGTAATAGGAACAAAGAAATGCCTTTCTAGAGTCCCTGCAAAGCAAAAGTGGGATGTAGCCTACACAGCTCGGGTAGCTTCCCATTCAGAAACTGGCGATTCAACACCCAACCCAAAGCGCAGAATTGAAGTCCAAACCTGCAAATCTAGAGGTCCTGCCATCTGACATCTTTGATCTTCAGAGCGACCCCGAGAAGCCCTGAACCTTCACACATTTGTCAGCCAGGAAAACATCTCTTTCCCCACTTGCACAAAAAAAGAAACGGGTTTGCCAGAAATCGGAAGATCTCCTCCATTCGGGTTCTTGGTTCCCTGGAAAAATGGGAAAATATGTCCAGTGATAGACTCCTTTAAAACCAACAGGGAAATATTCGAAAACATTCATTGCTTATGAAAGATATGCAACTGGAAACAACGCAAATGACATTATGCCGGAGATTGGCATCACAAAGTTGTTGTGTGGTAGAAAAATCACCTGAACTCTGTTCGTAGTCGGCAACCCCATCCGTTGTTTGTTCAAAGACCCACCAAATAAATCTTGGCCGGCCCAGTCTTTCTCGACGCGCCCAAAACCTCGGCGGTTTCGAACCGCGCCTTGTCCAGGCGCTCGTAGCGCTTCAGCTCCGGGTGGAAGACGTAGACCGGGTCCGACACCTCGCGACGGTGAAAATTTCCCCAACCGCTGTAAGCGAAACCGGCGGGTGTGCCTTTTGTTGGAGAGTGCGGCATCCTGGTTGCTTTTGGTCGGCGTCTTTTTTGAGAGTACCCTTTTGGGAATGGTAAAGGCGAAAAAGGAACATCGCAATTTGGTGGAATCCCTCTTCAGACACACCCACCTGGGGGGTGTCTCAAAAGAACTCCCCTAAAAAGAGACGCACCCACGTGATTGTTTGTTTTCAACCCTCTTTGCATTCGTTTTAAAGGAAAACCGAAAAGGAGAACCACCAGTGTCATCCATTTTGTGGGGGTCCCCCCACGCATACCATGCTGCACGCGCCTTCGCTGGGTCGAAGCCCTGCTCCCTCAGCTGCACCTGGCGTGAGGGAGCCGAGCGGGCCAGACCTGTTGAAACCTGGGCTTGCCATGTGGCCATGGGTCAAAATCCACATCGTACCCCCAGTGATCATCCCGATCCCCACTAAAATCAAGCCTAAAATGGGTAGGTGCACGTACCCCAAAATGGTACCATTGGTTTTGACCCACAGCCATGTGGGTATGGGTCAAAATACAACCAGGAATGGGACCGCAGGTTTTAGTCTTCCATCTACCAGGGTTCCATGTTGGGTACGCATTTTTGACGGCGACCTCCATAAAAAGGTTGAAGCCACTCTTTGCTTTGAAAGGGAAACCTATTCAAACCATAAAGAACCCTGTTTTTCCTTGAAAGCCTATTGAAAACAACCTTTGGGGGTGCCTACGAAATCCACTCCCTGGTGGACCTGTTGTTTCTGAAGTTTGGGGGTAGAACTTGAAGATGCCAGGAGTCAGACCACTAACGGTGCCCGGCCTTTTTCCAAGCTACTCTAGTCGGGTTTCAGCCAGCTTGGCCATGGCGTCGAAGTAGAAATAGTCTGAAGCCATGGAATTTACAGGGGAATCCTCCTTCCAGGGTTTCCTAGGTGGTGCAGGATTTTGTCCATCCACAGTATCAAAACACAGTTGATCGATGGGCCATTACCCTCCCACAACCAAACATGCGCTGGTGACGCACGCGTGTACGTTGGCCCAAGAAAGACGACCCTGGCTTGTTTGCCCTTGTTGCAGCCCAAATGAGCAAGAGTGATGCGGGTGTCAAAAAGGCACGCCGGTGTATCAACCACTCGCATCGCGAAGGCTTCTGAGGCACCATGCATGAGGGTACTTGGTTCGACAGGCATGGGCTAGAATCACCCGCTGGCCCATCCCCTTTAAGTTCCCGAGTGGTCTTGGGAATTGTCCAGTGCTTAATATCCCCACAATGATTAATATCCCAAGTAAAACTATACCCGGTCTTGGCGATCCCACAGTCGTTCATATCCCCAGTTACTTAGTCCCCGGTGAACAAGCCGGAATTCCCACTAAACGGGGACTTGAGTGCGAATGTCAACCACTTCCCTAACGTCGGATCATCCAAGTTGGCTCACTCGCAGAGCCAACTGTGTCTCAAAATAGGGGAGCCCCCAAAACGGTTTGTCTCCAGTTGGCTTCCCGTATAAACCAACCAGCCAAAAAGGTACGATCCACCCATGTACTGCGAACCGGCTGCATCCCGAAGGCGGGCTACCCGGGCCCGAGCCAAGCAAACAAGTCAAGAAGAACTGGTTGCTTTCGGAGATCTTCAAGCAAAGATCGAATGGAAGTTATATTTATCAAAAAGCACTGTCTGGGCAAATTAATTACATCAAACTATACTTTGTAAGCCGTGAAACATTGGAATTTGTCCTCAGAAGGGTTTGGCAGGAACCGCTGGCCTGCACTTCTCACGCAAACGTGGCTTTATACGCAGGTGCCAATTCCGAAAGCATGAAGACTGGTGGTCAATTCCAAATAAAAGTTGTGGAACGGCAACCCCCAATAACCCGACTGAAGCTCGCTAACAATGGCAACAACCCGCACCTTAGTGTCCACTTCGGGTTGCCCTTTTGAACATCACTTCAGGGGGAAGCCAAGTTAGAATTAGCATGATGTTAGAACAGCTAGAAAAGTGATATGATTTGTACCCCTACCATACTGATCAGAGTGTTCCAATGCTCATCACCCTTCGAATGGTAAACGAAAAATACACTCCCCTCCTCCCAATTGTTTGCTGAGAAATTAGCCCCAAAAGGGTGCCTTCCTTCTTGTTGGGGGAGTGGAGTTCTCGAGATAGGAATCGCCCCACTCCCAAAAGGCGCAGGTGTCCGCCGGTCGAATCGTGCGAGCCTTCTGGTGCTTGAAGGTTCCAGTGGTCTCCATCTCCGACAAAAACCGCAGGAACTTGGGCCGAGCGTAGCTTGGCAGCTCCTCGCTACTCGTCACCAGGCAAGGCGTGCACGCCATGTGGCTCTAAGGAAAAACTCCAGCCCAACCCACCATTGTATATCAGATAGGTTTCTCAAAGAATGAAAAAACCAACGGAATCAAACAAGCTCAAGGGGTATCCCCGACAGCCCCGGAACCCCTGGAAACTTCGCTGAGAGCGTATCTGGGCCTGCCGACCCCATGCTTTCAGCTACTAGGGGGAAAACAAAATACATTTAGGACCCCCGCGATCCATTTATGATCAAACTAACCTGAACAGGACACCTGTGACAGCCCATCTTTCAGGACCCTTCCGTCCGAAAGGCGAAAGGGTCCGTTTCCCTTTTATCCGAAGAAGGAAAAAAAGAAGAAGAAAAAGAGAACCGGCGCGATGAAGTGTCATTCCGCCTGCTCACAGAGCTTCTGCAGCTCGTCCAGCTTCTCTGTGGTCTCCAGGCCCTCGGGAGAAGGCGACACCAGACTACGAAAAGGAGCCCAGTGGATTCAAGCAAAACCAAGGGGAACCAAAATGTATAACCAACAGTTGTCCTGAAGCTTGGTTTCCTTTGGTTTCCCACTTTTTTGGTAAGCTTTCTGCATGGACAGGGGCCTAGATTTGCCCTGGCTTAGATTCGAACCTCAAATGTTTCGCTAAGTATGCTCAGTTCTCATGCCTCGCTCTTGACTGTCCTGCCTGAAGCCTCAGATGTCGATCCGAGTCTAGTTCCCCGTTTGATTCTTGCTGGAGCTCAGTAGGGAATGTGGGAATGAACCCACACTTCCCCTTAAAGGAAACAAGGGATGACTTGTAAGAGTCATTCCCTCATTCCTTGCTCAGCACCAGCAAGTATTTCCCCTCTGAGTTTCCACCATCCCTGCCTCGCGCTAGGGTTGGGCGATTCCAACCAACAGGGGAGAATATTCCACATCCTTGTTTAAGCAACCTTGAAACTCAAATCATGTTTGCCCACCCCAGATCCGTTCACTGCAATCATTTTCCTTGGGGTGGATCCCTGGGTGATATTCGAAAAACCAACATCAAACCCGCCAAGAGCCCCGGAGCCCAGGCGCATCCAAATTCCCCGTGCAGCTCACTCGCCCCTCCAAAAACAAAAAAAACTCGCTTTGGGATTTGCTGGGTTCTTACTGGAAAACCGCCAGCTTCAAACCCGAAAACAACTGAAACTTCAAAGCCCAAAAACTGGAACTTCAAACCCGAAAATACGAAGAGCTGCTTCTGCTGGGAAACCCGCCGGCCTGCCCACTGAGCGCCACCATGCAAGCGCGGCCATCTGCCTCCCCAGGAACCTGCCCAGGGTTCGGACGGATGCCTGTGAGAGTTGCCAGCATGGGTGGCCTTTCCGGAAAACAAATGCCTGGCCGACGGTTAAACTAAGGGGCCCAGGGCCCCGTATTCCTCAACTAAACTGAACAAAAAGGAGCCCCCATGGTCGCCAGTGTGTATCACTAGCGCACATGACTTGTCAAGCAATGGGTGGGAACTCCACATTTGTGCACGAACGGAGTGTCGCTATCATTGGAGTTTCTGGTTTGGAGGTGGGGCTCCTGCACATTTGGGAGTTTCAAAACCGCAAGCCGGCAAAACAAGCGCTCATGGATGGATTGATGCTCAAGAACGAAACTTAGGAATCTAGAAGTGGATTTTGTGTGTTTTTTTGCAGATCGAATTTCGACGAAGACGTCGCAGCTGCACGTTTGTGCGGAAGTGGCGGAGGCTTCGAATCGCAGGAGCTCTCGGAACTGATTTTGCTCTTGAACGATGGATGGATAGATGGATGGACGGACGGATGGATGGATGGTTGGATGGATGGATGGATGGATGGACGTACGGATGAATGGATGGTTGGTTGGATTGAGAGATGGATGGGTGGGTGGATGGGTGGAGGGATGGAGGTTACCTGCCTGCTTTGTTGTAATGGAGCATGGCGCCGCGGGGTCAGGCTTGGAAATTTGGCAGGTTGCATGCCCTTCCGGGCTATTTAAAGGGAAGCAAAAAGGAAACCACCCTTTTTGGTGTTCCCTAGTTTGAAGGATATGACTATTGATGGACCTGGCCCTTCATAGACACTAATAGTCACATTGTTCGGCTGCAATGGTTCCCCTTGCCTTTTGTTAAGGGTTCAGATATGGCTGGATCAGAATGGTTGCGAAAGAAGGCTCCTTGCGTTTGGCTTAGGCGCGTGTCTGCACACCATCAAAAAGGAATAGCTGACATCTGGGTTGGTCTGGCTGGAAATGATCATCACTTTCCAAAAGCGAAAGCCAGGTAGCGACATTCTAAAAACTACTCTCCCACAAGTGGTTCAAAGGCGAATAGCTTCAAAATGCTAGAAAGGGCAGCTCAGCCATGGCCTACAGGACGATTGAAGCGTGTTGATGCATCTAGTTTCGATTCAATCCAATGAAGGAATAAAACGGGTGAGGGATCAAAAAAAATAGGCATCAAAAAAGCTTATTCCTGAAGATCAAAAAAACTTAATAGGGGTCAAACAAACTTCTTCTCTTAGAGTTCCTACTAAAATGAAAACTCAGAGGATGAAGAAAAAAAACTTGTCAGCGATCAAAAAAAACCTTTTCGTGGCATGCGCAGCACTTTCGCAAGGTCTGGTACAGGCTTTGTGGCAGGCGCAGCACTTTCGCAAGATCAGGTACAGATTTCGCGGCATGCGCGGCACTTTCGAAAGGTACGGCACAGACTTCGCGGCAGACGCAGCACTTTCGCAAGGTCCGGTGCAGGTTTTGTGGCAGGCGCAGCACTTTCGCAAGGTCAGGTACAGACTTCGCAGCAGGCGCAGCACTTTCGCAAGGTCAGGAAGGTGCAGCACTTTCGCAAGGTATGGTACAGATTTCGCGGCACGCGCAGCGCTTTCGCAAGTTACGGTACAGATTTCGCCGCAGGCGAGGTTAGGTACAGATTTCGCGGCAGGCGCAGCAGTTTGAGGCAGGCGCAGCACTTTCGCAAGCGATGAAGAGAAAGAGACAGGGAAATACACATGCAGAAAAAAGGTGAAAAGAGAGAGAGAAAGAGAAAGAACGAGAGAGAGAGAGAGGGAAATAAAGAAAGAAACAAAGAAAGAAAGAAAGAAAGAAAGCAAGAAAGATCTAGGATGTGATGCCACAACAACAAAGAGCGCGTTAATCTCTGCAAATCTGCTAGCAACCAGTGGCAGCCCCACATGATGTTCAAAGAAGTGATGATTCAGCAAAGGGCGCGTTAACCTCTGTAAACATTCGAGAAATCAGCGGGGGGGTTGGGGGGCCCCCCCATGATGTTCGAAGAAGTGATGATTCAACAAAGGGTGCATCCGCCGATTCCCGAAATCGATGCTGAGAACCTCTCAAAATTTTCAGATATCCTTCCTTTACTTCCTTTCTTTTTTCCTTCCTTCCTTCCTTCCTTCCTTCCTTCCTTCCTTCCTTCCTTCCTTCCTTCCTTCCTTCCTTCCTTCCTTCCTTCCTTCCTTCCTTCCTTCCTTCCTTCCTTCCTTCCTTCCTTCCTTCCTTCTCCCCATAGGAATGAGAAGAAGTTGTTTTGATCCAAAAAAGCTGTTTATCCCTAATATTGTTGATCCCTAATAAGTTGTTTGATGCCTATCCCGGAATAAAACGGAATGAGGTTTCGCGTAGTGTCCAGAATGCATCAAATTCAGCAATTACAAGTCGGGCGGTCCGAAAAAAACCTTTTCAAATCGTAGGCAAGGTGTAGGGCCAGCACAGCAAGAAGGTCGCGTGCTTCGTGTTACAGGACAACCCAAATCTTTCTTTGCAAGGGTTTGTTTAAGCTTGTTTGCGGAGGTTCTCCATGCAAATTCTGTGTGCGCATAGGCGCTTAAATTGGGCACCTTTCTTTTGGGCTTTGTGCGTTGACACACACTGTCCACGCACAGGGTCGCGTGGAAACCTGCGCGCCTTTGCATAGACGCGCGCGACTGCTCAAGACTGTGCATCGGCACGCGCAAGCCACGCCTTGCTTTCGCTGCGCAAGTTTTTTGCGCAAGCTTCTCCGTGCAAAAGCTCTTAGCAAATTGCAACGGTAAGTTCTCCGAGCAAGCTCGCTGTTCAAGTTTCTCTGCGTGATTGCTCTGCGCAGCTCTGGGACCAAGTTCCAAGTTCTCTGTGCAAGTGCCTTTGCGCGGTCTCTGTTCAAGTGTCTGCGCGCAATCTCAACGCGTACGCTCTCTGAGTAAGTGCCCTGCTCAAACAAATTTGTCAGCAAGTCTCTGCACCAGCTTCTCTGCTCGGTTGTTCTGCGCTGGCTCTTTCACCAGCTCTAAGCGCAAGGTACCGCCCAAGCTTTGAGCTTCGCTGCGAGATTTCTCTGCGCAAGCTCTCCAGGCAGGTTCTCGCAAGTTCTCTGCGCAAGCGTTCTATGCAAGCTTCTCTGAGCAGGCTTTCTTCGCGGTTCAAGTTTTGAGCTTGGCGGCGCGAGCCCTCTGTCTGCCCAAGTGCCCCTTAGCAAACTTCCCTGCACAGAATCTCTGAGCAAGGAGGAAGCACGCTCACGCACGCGAGCACGCACGCACGCACCCACACACACACACGACGCACAGACACGCAAAGCCCAGCCGAGACCATCGCGCGGGCTCAAAGAGCTTGAGGTCGTGACTTTCACCACTTCAGGGGCTAGGGTCTTCTTCGCAATTGAGTTCGCCTCTTTGGGCTGCGAACGTGCGAGCTTAAGCCTAAGCCTTGCAGGCACACAAGGCGCCCGAGCGCGCGCCCAGCAAGCGGCCATGCTCATGTCCTTGTTCGCCGCGACGAGCAGCAGTCTCGGGGCGCACTTGCCTGTTTCCGTGTGCTCGTAACGCGCAACTGCGGCGTGCGCAGATGTCGCGGCAGATGCTATCTTGTGGTCTTTGCTTAACTGGACTGGCTGATTTTGTGGTATAATCGCTGCTACAACGACTGCGCCCTGGGCAAGCAAACATGGATTGCCTGCGTGCGCCTGCAACTAAATTCATGTGGCCAGCTGCGATGTTGAAGTGTAGTTGCAACTTTGCCAGACCTACGGTTGCCCCTCTGAACCAACTTGCCCCCCAGTCTCGCCACACCTCAGCCCTGCATCCCACCCGCAATACCGCACCTCACCCCAGTCTAACCCACCTTGAAAGCTTCAACCGATGCCGCGCACCCCAAATATGCAAGGAAGTTGCTCTTGGCCTTCCACAAAGCCACCAAAAAGAGGAAACATCTCTGTGCGTACGTACTATGTGATTTGTGTACATATACATGTCTATATATATATATATATATATATATATATATATATATTTATGTATATGCGTGTGTGTGTGTGTGCGTAAATGTGTGTGTGTGTGTGTGCAACTTGGAACCTGGCAAACTGTGGCAG